CCTGAGGTAATGAAACTGACAAACCTCAGTTTATGGCGGTTAAAACTCGTTCTTTGCTGCAAAGATCTTGCGGCAGCGGTGACACCACGCCTCCACGCAACAAGCAGGGAGCAGGGATTGGAGCAGAGTACAGGCAGCTTCTAAATGTGCAGGTTTTCCCCACACCAACAGGTGTGTCAGTCAAAGTGCCTCGGCGTGTCACGAGTGACACGCATGTCATAGGTTAGCCATCACTGTTCTATACGATCCCTTTTCTACTGCCATTCTGACAGGCTACAGACATATGGGGAGAAGGGTAAAAAGTGAACAAAAATGGGAGTTAGACAGGTAGGGCCCTTCAGACCTGTCCACGGGAGCTTGCTTGTGATCATGCCACCACAGTTGTACAGGTAGTCCTTGTTTTACAACCATTCATTTACTGACTGAAGTTACAACGGTGCTGAAAACGTGTCACAGGACCAGTTCCATAATTACAGCCATGGTCACATGATCTAAATTCGGGCGTTTGACAACTGGCATGTATTTATGACAGTTGCACTGTCCCGGGGTCATGTGATCACCATTTGTAACCTTCCCCACTGGCTTCTGACAAGCAAAGTCAAGGGAGGAAGCCAGGTTTGCTTAATGACGTCATGATTCACTTACCAACTGCAGTCACTTGCTTAACAACTGTGGCAAAAAAAGGGTGGGGAAATGGGTCAAAGCTCACTTAACAACTGTCTCGCTTAGCAAAAGAAATGTTGGGTTCGGTTGTGGTCATAAGTAAGGATGCCTTGTATTTTCTTTCTTTAAAACAATTGTTCAACCCCCTCCCCCCAAAAAAGACCTGTAGCATTCCTTTTCACTAGCTACAAGGATGAAGATGATAGGATGTTAAAGAACCCAATGTGACTAATGTCATGCCCAGCCAGCTAACTGTGAGAGGAAATGACAGAAAAATTTCTGTTGTGTGAACAATGCTTCTATATCTTATCACAATGTTTATTTACAGTAATATATATATATATGTTCGTCTGTGAGTTGAACTCACAAACGCAATACAGAAGCCTGATGA